ATATATATATATATATATATATATTGCATCTATTTTTCCCCCTTATATACTCTATGTATATATGTATCGTGTTTTTCTAATATTTCAATGCACATAACCTCATATGTTACAAGAGATCATCTTCTAACGTTTTCAACTGTTTTCTCACAATATCCACGTACTCGCGGAGTTGTGCCTCATTTTTTAATACCTTCTTTTGTGTTATATCGAATTTCTTAAGCAAGGGAATGAGATGATGACGTACATCTGTACTACTTCTACTAAACTCTTCAATACCACTACTTCTTATGCTCTCACCATCACTACTACTACTACTCCTGTTGCTGTTGTAGCTGGTGTTACAGAGACTAACATTACTAGTATTTTTACTCTGACGTTGAATTGCTGCAATAACTTGTTCTCGTTTTTTCTCTAGTTGTTCTGCTTGAGAAAGAACACTTGCATGTTGAGTTTGAAGTAGACGTAATTGTTCTCGAAGTTCAAGCATAAGTGCCTCACGTGCGGTTAATTGTCGTGTTTGAGGTGATGATGATAACGATGATGACACCGACACTTTCATACCTTTCCCATTCGATTGTGGTGTAGAGACTAGAGTTGATGATGTTGTTTTTGTTGTTGTTTTAGTTTTTGTTGAGAGTCCTTCTTTCCTTTGTGCTACTTTCTCTGGAGTAACAATATGAACAGCAGTAGTAACAGCAGTAGCAGGTGTATTTCTCTCAAGAGGACGTGAACGTTGAGTCCGTTTCTTCGCGGATGAATAACTAACAGAGGAACAAGGAGAAACGCCTCCATTTGGTGGTGAAATAGATCGTCTCATCCTTTCTAAAGGTGTGGCCGTCTTTTCGGGTATTACGGTTTCTGTTGTTTTTATAGGAAAAGTTGCCTGATAACTATCATCACTGGAAGTATGGCCATCGGACCATGTAGAGTCTACAGGGACTCCTTCTAATGTAGATGGTTTACCACTATAATGTTTTCGTGTTGAATGTACACTTTTTAAAAGACTTCTCGCACTTGCAAGGATACGATTTACATCACTTGTTGATAATCGTGTAGTTTCTCTACATTCACTCTTGTTTTCACTGTTAACATTATTCACAGAAGAGGTGATTCTCGGTGGTGGCGAGATATATTCTGGAGAGAGACGTCTATCAATTCGAGAAATAGAGTTTGGCGATAGTTTTGGTGGTGGTGTTTTTATTCCTGCAGCAGATGTACTCCCAGACTGCCCTACCACACGTTCTTCTGTTAAAGGGGAAACAATCACTACTTCAGGTTCATCATTATTATTATTATTATTATTATTATTATTATTATTATTATTATCACAAGAAGAAGAATGTGTGTGTGCTGTTGATTGTACTCTGTCATCCACCCGTCGTGCGAGTTTAGCGAAGATTTGATTTCGTTTTTGTTGTAGAGATATGGATGTTTGTGAAATAGGCATTTCCTCTGGAAGTGATGGGGGTTGTGTTTGACTGCGACTACGCTCTTGAGATGATATTTCATCATGAGTGTTATTATGGTGGATATCAACATACATCTTGTTCTTACTATCGTTATTATTATTATTATTATTATTATTATTATTATTATTATTATTATTATTATTATTATTATTTGAAGATGTTTGTGGGAATGGTACATCGTGAAGAGATGCATGAACTCCAGAAGTAGAATATGCAGATGTTGTTGTTGTTGCTGCTGTTCTTGAGGAGGAATTGGAGGAAGAGGTAGATCCTGTTCTCGTTATTCCTGTTATTCCTGTTGTGTCTTGTAGTTTTAACACTCCTTCCAATGTTAAGAGTCGTTTCTTTAAAATAATAACATCTTCTTCAAGTTGTGTACAACGTAGACGTGATAAACGTTCCTTATCTCTCCATAGAGTATTATCATTCTTTAACTCCTGTGCTGTTTGTTTCCATCGTTGTTTCTCTTCCTTCAATACATCCAATGTACTCCGCAGATAACTGTTTTCTCTCACTTGTGCCTCTAATGACTCTTTCAGAACCTCCAACTCCCGTAATGGATTCTGCAATGATGTGGATGTGGATGATCTCTCTTCAGCATAGTCACCGCGAGAAGAGGAACTACTTCTACTTTCTACACGATCTACAAATAAAGGTACTGCAGCCAACATGCGTTCTTGCATGTTTAGTATTAAATTATCCTTTGCATCCAACATACGGCGTAGTCGAGTATTCTCGTTCATAGTATCCATACTATTTATTCCCTCTTTTATTTCCTTCTTTACTTCTTCTTCTTCTTGTTGTTGAGATGTCACTGGTGATGGTGGAGATGTTGTAATAGTTTTGGGAATATTTCCAGTATTACTTCTCCTGTCTTTATTCTTTTTCACATTTCTTTCTTCTTCTTCACTTTCTTCATTTTCTTCTTCTTTATTGTGTTTCTCAATCCCACTTGCAAAGTTTTTAGTGCTTGTCGTTTCCAGGCATCTCGCCAGTGGTGGCGGTGTGATATCATCTCCCTCGCCAGTGGGACTCACATCTCTGGTAACAGGCAGGGAATACGATGGCGATCGTGGAACTCCACTTTTGGGAGAAATTCCACTTTCCTCCGATGGCAACTTTTCAGGAAATAAATTTCGTTCTTCTTTTTCTTCTTTTATCAGTTCTTCTTGGTGTAGTTCATATTCCTTATATCTCTCACCTGATCTTTCCCTACTCCCACTATTATTATTATTATTATTATTATTATTATTATTATCACTATTACTATTACTATTACTAACACTAACTGCATGTTGAGTATTCCTTATTGGTCTATGCACATCTCGCACATTCGGCAATGGGGATAAATCAGTGAAAATAGATTCAGTTGTGTGAACATCATTCAAACGCCCATCCGCATCCACACACTCCCGCACTTCGCCTGTTGAGAGTTGTTGTGTAAATGCGGTTTGTTGACGTTCTGCAGATCTTCCAAGTAGTGATCCCTCACGTGGGGCGGAGCAGGATGGTCGCAGTGTACTCACAGGAGAAACAGAAACAGAAACACAATCATCAACACTTCTCTCAGTTCTCTCATCTCGAAGGGAATAACTTCTTTTACTTATCATCTCATCTACAACCGCAGTATTTTTATTAGGAGTATTAGGAGGAATACCACTCATAGTAACCGAAGAAGAAGAAGAAACAGCGGCAACATTAGAAAAAGAAGAAGAGGCAATATTGTACATTTCTCTTAATGCCATCGCTAAACAAACAACAATATGTTGTTTACTCGCCACAACATCCTCTAACTCTTGTAGAAAGTGTAAAACAGTAGTATGCCGATGATCACCCCGGGGTATATGTCTCTCAACAGCATTATTATCATTATTATTATTATGATTATTATGATTATTACTCTGTTCATCTAATCTATTGTTAGGATAATAATACAATGTTTTCATACCTCTTGGTAGGATAAAAAGTTCAGAGAGTTGTGCCCCTAATGATTCCATTGCCTCTTCCTGCAATTGTGTGAGTCCTATAAACTGTTCACGTAGACATTCCACACGATTACACAAGTCTCTTAATAATATACTGTTATTATTATTATCACTATGATGATTATTATTATGCATTCCATCTCCTTTTACAACTACTTCCGCTTCTTCTCTACGTATTTCATATTGTATAAAGGATTTAAATGGTGACATTACGTATTGAATAGATTCTATGAGTTTGGAGTGTAACCCAGCGTGTTTCATCTCAATAATTCGTAAACGCACAACTTCACGATCTATTTCATCTAAAGTAACCACATGAGGTTTTCGTTCATTATTATTATCATTATCATTATCATGATGGGAAGAATTTACGTTGGATGTTGGGAATAGACGTTGACGAAGAGTAGTGATTAATAATACACTTTCCGCTTGATTCTTCTGCACTCGCACGAGTAGATCTAAACATCTATGTAATGAGAGAGAACCCACAGAGTGGTCCATACTGCTGTTAGATTCCCCAACACCAACATGAATAGAAGAAGAGGAACAACAAGAAGAAGATGAATTAACAGAAGATGTTGTTGTTGTTGTTGGTGGTGCTGGTGTAGTTAATCTTGTGCCTCCTGTTGTTTCTCCTTCTATTCCTGTTAGTGAAATTGATTTCATAAATGATGAACTTTTATTCTCTGCATTGATATTATTATTTTTATTATTATTGTTGTATGGGTGTTTTCTCAAGAGAGATGAAACACGTTGTCTTTCGGTATCTATCCACGGTGTGAGATGTTCGGCATGTCTCAAGTCATGCATACCTTTCCTCACCACTAAATAATCAAAATAAGGATACTTAACCCATCCTAAATAATAATAATAATAATAATAATATTAAAATATATACACAAAGAAGAAAAGGAAAGAAAAAAAAAGAAGAACAATAGAGGAAGAAATAGAAAAAAAAAACATAAAGGCATAAGAAGCTGTAGAAATACATTTAAACAGAAAGAAAGAAGAATATATATATATATATATATATATAGGAAAAATTAAGATAAGAATAAAAGAAGAGAGATAAGTAACATACACTAAGAAAGAAAAATACTCTCACTTAGAACATAAAACAGTCATGATTGATCCTTCATGACAATACAACTAAAAAGGAAAGGAAGGAACAAAAAAATAAAAATAAACAAAAAAAAATAATTAATTATACTATCATAATATTAATAATACGGTAACCATTATTACTAATCCCTATTATTCAGAAACAATGTTTTTTTTTTCTTTCTTTGTTTTCTGATAACAGTTTTTTTTTTTTTTTTTACAACTTTCATATCTATTTTGCTAAACGTTTCCCAAATACACAAATCCCATTAAACCCCCTATCCCCTCATATATATATATATTCACTACACTAATAGATATAACCAATACTTATACTCCCCCCTTTACTACCGTCTCCTATTCTCACTATGCCTGCTGCCCCAGACGTGCCTGCAGTTCCTTTACTTCTGCCAATAGTTTCTCTGCCCGCAAGGCATCCCGCTGGTGTGCATACCAGTAATTATACTCCTGATCCACATGCCCCATTCGCAGTGCCTCTGCCTGCAGAGTAGCGGAGAGTCGATGTGCACTATCATCCTCCTGCAGATTGGCTTGATTCTGCAATGCCTGTCGTCTGTGCATACGTTCCATCTCACTATAATAAAGTACGGCCTTTCGCCGCAACTCCACGTGTGGTCCATCCCGCTGCCGTTCAAAGTACTCGGAGAGTTTATATCGTAATGGGAATGTAATCGCTACGGAGAGAACCATTAGTAGTGGGGCGTATGATTGCGGGGCGTAGGCCATAAACCCCAGTGGTGTATACCACGGTCTCTTTACATATCGTACCATTGGGAGTGAGTGAGAGTGAGTGTTGTTATCTTCTACAATGTATATATATATATATATATATATATAGAGAGAGAGAGAGAGAGAGAGAGAGAAAGATATCCTTCTATCTATCTATTGTTTTTTCTTCTTTCTCTCTGTGTGTTTGTGTGTTCTTCTGTATGGTTTATAAATTTAAACCCCTCACGATTGTGTTACAATGTCAAACACCTATGGATGAGAAATGAGTACAAAAATAAAAAAAAAGAAAAGAAAAAAAGCAAATGAGAAACAAGTATATATACATAGATATTTATACATATATAATATATAAAGATTACAACCACGTATAAGAATGGTACAAAAAATATTGACATGCAAGTATCGAAAGAACGTTCAAAGAAGAATGTGTAAGGCTTACTTCAGCCTCCCCTCTCCGTCTACAAAGTTAAAATATAATAACACTAATAATGATAATAATAACAAAAGGCTCAATAAGTAATGAACCGGCGTCACACTCTACTTCTCGGTAAAAAAAAAATTTTTTCATTTTTTTTTTTTTTTTTTAATTTCCTCTTTGAAATTTCTATATTTGCATATATATATTTCTTTTTTCATCCCCTCAGGTTACATCAATTTTGGTAAAAAAAAAGAAAAAAAAGAAAAGAAAAAAAAAATGAGCAGCAGAGACGATACGAATGATAGAAGCGAGAAAAACAAAAAAAAAAAAAAGAAAATGTATGGACACACATCAGTAGATCCAAGTGTAGTAATCCCTCACACTCCCTCTATCACTACCATACAACACATTTATTGTCTTTTTTTTTCTTTTTGACTGTTTTGATTTTCTTGTTTGTTTGTTTGTTTACAAGAAATTTCCTTCATGTTCATTTCCAATTCCTTTTCCCTTTTCTTTTCTTTTTTCTATCATTCCATTCTCTTAAAGTTGTCTCATTTCTCTACATGGTGTTTTTCCCTTGTTGCCTTTTCTTCTTTTTTTTTTTACTTCTTTTTATCCTGCTGTTTTCTTTTTTTTTTTTCTTCTTCTTTCTTTTCCTCCAATGCCGCTGCTGGCGATAGGTACCCCCTTCACACAGCAACACACATAAAAAAGAAAGAAAGAGAAAAAAAAAAAGTACATCAAATAAAAATAATAAAATTAACAACGGCAAACCCACAAGCACATCATACACAGAAAGAAAGAAAGAAAGAAAGAAAAATAAAATAAAAACAAAAGGAAGAAAAAACACCCCTCTCTCCCTTTTTCTTACACCATTCATTTCACTTCCCTCCCCCCACCAAACAACAAAAAGAAAAGAAAAGAAAAAAAGAAAAGAAAAAAAAGGATTCTACAATTTAAAATCCGGTGACTCCGCGGCCCCACACCATGGACAGTTCTTCCCCAACACAATATATCGATTCCAGTCCTCCTGATTGGCCGGCCGCTGACAACTCCGGCACTTCGTGAGGCCGCCGCCGACGATCGGGTACCCCGTCACCGCACACTCCGGGAAGACCGCCCCGGCCGGCGACTGCAGCGCCCCCTCAAACATCTCCACCTGATTCTGCGGGTCCATGATGGTGGGGAGGTGGGCGTCCAGGTTGCTCTCAATCGAGACGGCCAACACCCACTTATTCACCTCCTCCTCCGCCTCCTTTCCAATGGAGGAGGTTCGCGGTAGGGGGTATTTCTTGGGAAAGTCCGTACAGTCAAAGTCTTCGTTATCAATAGCGGTACTATCCAAGGCGCCATCTTCAATTTTTTCACAAATATCAAGGAAACGGTTAAGGTAGAGGAAAGCCAAGTTATCAGATTCGGCCTTCTTCGCTGCCATACCAGCATCATAAAAGGCTTGTTCAGGGGCAATATAAGGAATCCATCGTGGAAGTCCAAGCATAAGTTTTAATGCATAGTCATTTAATGATAATTCTAACATACGAGGAGCCATATAGTAAATGTGAACAACGTGTGCAAGTGCTCTTGCCTTTGTCACATCTTCTGGTTTCTGTCCAGATGTAGCCATACTTTCGGCAACATTTATAAAACTTGTATGAAATTTATCCAATTTCAAATTGCTTTCAGATTGAAGTGGAAGTACTTTAACAAGTCGTTCAGCCATTTCTACCCAAACTTCATAAAAGCGGAAATCACCAGTATCAAGGGGTAATTCTTCTACCACATCAAGTGCCTGAGCCATTTCACCTTTATTAACATGATATTTCATTCTTAAACCTGCTACATATTTCATTTCTTCTGCTGTACGTTGTTTTGCCATACGAATAGCATTATCCCAGTCATTATTGGTAATATAAGCCTTAAGTGCCGCTTCTGGATCAATTTCTTCCACCACTTTCGCATCTTTCATACCTCCACTTTCAATACTATCTTGTACAATAGCACGTTTTACATAATCTTCTAGTTCTGGACTAATACGTTTGGCTAAATATTCAGCAAGATCAAATTTCTTACCATGAACATACATATTAATAGCTCCTTTATAATCTTCACAATCTTCTAAACATTTACCGGCTTCCACATATCTATGTGCATCTTTTAATTTACCTGTAGCAATACGTAAAACTCCTTTAAGCATATTACGATCATGTTTTTGTGCCACCTTTACTGCACGTACCCATAAACTTGCCAAAACATTAGGATCTGATACCTGCTCTGGTGTTGCACCAAGATAAGTTTCCACAGCCATTTGATATTCTCCATGTTCTTCCAATACCGCACCTGCTTTCTTTGGATCATTCGATTGTAATGCAATACGTTTCGCAATTTCTCCTAACATCTCTGGACAATGTTCCTTCGCCACTCTTTGGGCTTCTGTGTAGAGACGACCATCCATGTACATTCGTAATAATGCTTCAGGAGCATTTGCACGTACAAATAATGTTTCTGCTTCACGATAATTACCCTGTTGAAAGCAAGCACGACCATTTGCTTGTAAAATAGTAGGAATTGCCGTTTGATCATAATTCTCTGCTACCCGCATAGCATTTTCAAATTCATGTTGATGTAAATACATATCAATAGCCTCACGTGGTTTTCCAGATTTAAGAAAAGCATCTTCTGCCATTCGAAAATCTCCTTGATCTTCATAATGCATGGCATACTTAAGATAAACATATGGTAATTTCGCTGGTTGTGCCAATTGTGCCCATTGTAATGCCAATTCAAATTTCTGAGCCTCCAGCGCCGCATCAATACCCGCATCCACAAGTGAAAACTTCATAAGAAGTCGTACACCATCTTCGGCTTCAATCACCATTGCACGAGAAAGTACAACTTGTTTAGCGGCATTCGCCCCACCATGTACTTTAGCCACACGTACAGCATCTTCCCACATTTCTCGATCCCGATACATATTAACAGCACGTCCCCAATCTTTTCCAGCTACATAATGAGTTTCTGCCATTTTAAAGTTACTTTCTTTTTCAAATTGTGCAGCAAGAGATAAATGCGTTTTCAGTAAATAATCTGGACGATAGGCTTGTACGAGACGAATCATATTTGTATAATCACGGGTCTTTTTATACATGACAATAGCTTGATCTGGTTCATCCACTTTCAGATAAATACGTTCAGCTCCGGCATAATCTCCTTTAGCTTCCAATTGTTTTGCTTGATCCACAAACATAGCAATAAGTTGTTGTTGTGAAAGATGACGTTGGGCTACACGATACATATGATCAGACATTCCAGCCCGATTGTACATTTCAACAGCATCATTAATAGATCCAGCTTTAATATAAAATTTCTCAGCATCACTGTATTGATGTAATTCTTCATAGTGGTGGGCAATATTTTTATAGAATCCTTTTACAGTCTGATCATTATCCGCTCCAACCACTTGACTTTCAAGAATATTTGTAGCTTTACTCCATTGTCGTGAATCAATAGCAGCTTTAACAGCTTTACTATATTTTTTCGCTTCAATATAGTGATTAATAGCTTGATCCACATGTTTCTGTGAAACCAAGTAATCTCCCCAAGCTTCTTCTAGTTCTGTCACTTGCTCTGGATGTGCTCGTTTAGCAAATTCTACCGCACGACTGTAGATATGTCCCTTCTTATATGCTTGAATAGCCCGTTCATCCATTTTAAGTTTTTCAAAAAAGTCTCCTGCCTTTTCAAATACTTGAGCCTTAAAAAGTGCAGCTGCAATAGCTTCTAAAAGTTGAGATTCTGGTTTTAAATTATGTACTGAAACAACATTTGCCGCACGTGCTGGTGTACCACCTCTAAGGTATAAATTAATAGCATCAATATATTTTCCATCATGTTCCTTCTGTTCTCCAGCTTTTTCATATTGACCCGTTTCCATTAACCAGTTATAATAATGGGCACGTTTATTAGCCAAATCTGGCCAACCACGAGCTTCAGCAACACTAATGCTTTCATCAAAACGATTCATTTCTTCCCACATAGCCATATCTTCTTCTATTTTACCATTTTCTAGGAATAGTTGTTCCGCTCGTTTGTATTCTTTATTCAACATACATAATTCTGCCCGAACTGTATAGTGATCATAACCATCTGTAAGTCCTTCACTTGCTTTAGCTGCTGCTTCTGCAAGTTCATTAATATGATTAAGTGCATTGACTTTCGCCACATCTCCCAAAGCAGCATAACAACGTTGAGCAATATGTAATTTCATTTCTTGAAGAGCTAAATTAGCTAAATTAGCCCACATTGCTTCTGTTTCAGGTGTAAGAGCTATTTGATCTAATAAATCACAAGCTCTATTGTAATCATGATCTTCCATGGTGGTACCAAACTCAATAAGGGCTTCATCTAGTCCATAAGCGACGGTATTTACACCTTCATCCACAATGACTTCTGTCTTTCCATTACCACGTTCAATACCTTCCACTTCTCCTTTAATAGGAACCACCGCAACGCGATCAGGAGCATCAATACTGTACCAAACACATAATTCTACTCGATTCTGTGCCACCACAACATCACTACCAGGTACCCATTGAACATATGTACAGTAATTTAATAATGTGGTACGACTTTGTTCTTCTAAATCATAAAGAAATAATTGATGTTGTTTATCACGGAAAAGTAATTTATTGGCACGGTAATTTAATTCAAGCCAATCAATTCGAGATTGATGTGATATTCGTGCAACGGAAATACCGCTTCCCAAATCATCAATTTGAATGGTTTGTCTGTCAATAAGATAAGCAATAAATTTACGTTCACGTTTTTCATTATTATCTCCAGATCCTGGTGATTCATGAATACGAACAGAAATACGATGAGCATTACGTTCTTCTGTACGACAAGTACCAAGAAGTTCATTCTTTCCATACTCAATTAAACAAAGTTCACCAGCTGCAAAAACCATACAAACTTGTGGATTATCAAAAACAAATTTTTCACGACCTGAAAGTTGCCAAGGAACTTCAGATAACTTGCATGAGACAAGATCACCTACAAGAAGTGTAGTAGATGTATATGCTACCAAATAACGATCTTGATAAACATTCACACGTTGAACTTCATATCCCAAGTTTGAACGTAAAACAATTCTAGTTCCTGTTGCTAATCGTTTTACAATTACTTGATTATGACTTACATATGTAAATTCAAAAGCACCACGAAGTCGGTATCTTTTTAAACACGTATCAAACATATCCACAGCTCCTGTAAGAGTTCCGGTTACAATACGGCTTCCATCATATTTCCATGCCATGGCAGAAAAACTGCAGGAATTGGGAAGTTTTACAATAACACCTTCCTCCCATTTGCGTGAGCGAAGATTAAAATCTAGTAGACGAAACTTTTCAGTACTTGCAATAGCCAAACTTTGTCCACTAGGATTAAAACATCCCACCGTAAAATCTCCTTCTTCTTCCAATTTATAATCAAAATCTTGAGATTTTTGTCCATTACGTTCATAAAAAGTAATATGACCATTTTGTCCGGCTGCACAAATATGTTCTCCCCATAATAATACGTATGGTGTACAGCTATGATTAAAAATCTTTTTAGATCCAGATACTTCATTGGTTTCTTCAGATTCAAAGGTATATTGATAAACAGAACCATCCAGGTGACCAGAAATAATTTTTTGTCCATCTGTACTGCTTGCAATAGAAACAACTGGGTGTTCATGTGCATAAAGGGATTGAGACTTATTCGCCTTTAAAATTCCCACCTTTACTTTACCCTCAAGTGTTCCAAACACCACCAATTCAACGCCTTGTGAAGTATTAGGCCAACAAACACAAGTAACAGCAGTGGTTTGTGGGAATTTACTGCAAATAGCTTTCTTTTCACCCCATTCAATACCAATACGGTAAATTGCCACCATTCCATCAGATTGTCCCACGGCAATTTTAGAGCTATCAGGAGAAAATACCATTCCGCTAATAACATAGGATCTTCCATTCTTACCATCTGCCGCTTTGGTTGGAAACTTATCCCGACGTTCACCAAACTCATCATAAAGGTTTACCATACGACTGCTATCTGCAACCGCCACTCGTTTATTATTTGGAGACCAACAAATAGCTTGTGTGCGGGCAAAGCCTTGCTGAGAGGCCATTAACGTCTTGTAATGTTTCACCTGCATTTGGGAGAAAAATCAAATAATCAAATAATCAAGCAGCAAAAAAAATTCTTTTTTTTTTTTTCACGGTAACTATCTTGTTCTTTTTTTGATTATTTATATATATGTGTGCGTGTGTGTACCTATAGGTGCAGGTGTGTAATGTCTGTCTTTCTTTCTTTCTCTAATTTGCGGCTGTGTATTTCACTTTTGTATTTTGTCTCCACTTTATACCTTCTTTTTTACTTTTCTTGTCTTTTTCTTTCGTTCTTCTCCTCTTTTCTTTTTTGTTTCTATCCTTTCTTTTCTTTTCTTTTCTTTTCTTCTTTGACTCCTCTTGGTACTGTTTTCTTCTCTTCCACTGTTTTGTTTCTCTTTTTCTTTTTATTTATTTCTCTTTTCCTTCCTTACCCTCGCAACAGGTAGGGATAGGACCTTCCCAAACAAGAAATAAAATCAGGAAAAAGAAAAAAAAAGAAAAAAAGACAAACAAGAAGAACAACAAGAGAAATAAAAAATAGATATAGAAATAGTATCTTCTACAAGAAAATACATAAAATGAATTCTTTTTTTTCTTCTTTAATGATAAAAAAAAAAAAATAATAATAATAACGAAAATATATACTGTGGTCATCATCACCGTATTTCATCTGTGATAATCCTTCCCTCTCCAACAACAACAGAGAGAGATATAAATAGTTTCAAAGCACGAGGGAACCATCATCCTCCTCGTCTTCTCCTTTTTTCAACCCAACTCTTAAGCCGCCCTCTTCTTCTCCTTCTCCTTCTCTTTCTTTTCCTCCTCTTCTTGTTGCTGTTGTTGATATTCCTGTGGATTGCGATAACTGTTCTTCACGCAGGGATGCCAACAACACACGGCGTAGTTGACGAAGTGGAATCTCATCATCACAACGCGAGACATCAAACACTCCCGTTCCATGTGCCCCAACCAAACGGGTAAAAAAATCTTGGTTAACACAACTTCTACGCAGCGCAAAAACAAGGGATTCTGTATCTGTGGCTTTTCGCTGTGTGGCTATATTATAGAGCACTAACTTTCCTTCACTTTCTACTCTTGAAATATTGCTAGAACTAGACATTTCATTTACACGCTCTTTTTCAGTTTTATCTTCACTGTTTTTCTTATTCTTCTTATTATGCTTCTTTTTTGCAATTGCAGAGCAAAGCAATGGAAATGGTTTAGCAACATCTGTAGGTTCCATGAAAAGAGATTCAATCCAGCGAACATTTCTCATTTCAGCATCTGAGACGGACATAAATACACTAGAGAGAAGTCGCTGAGACCACCATTCACGACCGTAATGAAGGAACAACTCGTCACCTTCCTTTAAGTTTACAATTGGCACTAGTGTCAGTAAGTGTGTATTATCATCTACCTCTAATCGTACATTGGCTTTACGTGTGAGGGCTCGAAGGATTTGTTGCATCTGCATATATTGATCCTTCTTTATCACCCCGTCTTTTGATTCCCTTTCACCATCTATAGATTGAGACATGGTAAGTAACTCTTCTTCACTTTTACCAGAGTTTGTATCTTCATATAATTGCATACGTTCTCTGTGCATTTTCCAGTACTCGCAGTTGGCAAGATCATCTCGTGGAGGTATTTCCCACAGAATACCATCATTGATCTCAAAGAGATGATCCTCTGCAATAGTTAGAGGCGATATATGAAGTTGTGGTCTCTGAGATAATGGATGTGAAGTTTTCTTTGTAGTTAATGATCCAGAACTATACTTTCCAATTCTTTCCATGTCACTACTAGAATAATGATAATCATCATTATCATCATCATCAAAATCATTATTATTGTTATTATTATCTCCATCCTCTTCCTCAGTTTTACAAAAATCAGACTCATTATCCAATTTCCTAGTTCCATTAGTAGTTGTTGCCGTTGTTGATACACTCTGCTCCAACACACTATTATTATTATTATTATTATTATGATTATCCGTATTATTCTTCTTCTCTCTCTTTCCAGCAAGATACCTATAATGATGTCGATCTCGCCAAGCCTGAAGTCCTGCAGCATCTGCAAGTGGTGCGTGATGGCTCGGCACTAGTAAATACCATCCACGTGCTGTCGCTATATTGAAGTACAGTCCTGTACTGAATTGATGCCGTAGGGCGAGAAAACGCCGCAGCGATATGGTATGAGAAGGTGTATGAATGAGATTCACCATGTATGGAGGGGCAATCGCATCCCGCAGCGGTGCCACTTCAATTGGTGTTAACTTCTTTACAGCACGTGTAAGAAAGACACCATTTGCCCCAGGCACAAGTCTACTCGGGGCTACACGTGTTAAAGACATAGTTATCCTTTTTTTTTTTTT